GAACTAGCAAGTGCATCGCTTACGGCTAAATCTAGTCTGGAGGGATTTTGCAGCTTCTAGTCCAGTCAACAGATCAACGAACAGTGATTTTTCAGAAATCTATTGTACACCACCACCAACAACTAGACTTGCATCTCGTAAGGTATACTAATTTTATTTTATGAATGCTTTACTTTTTATTTAAGTGCTTATGGTCTATGCAAGTTCATATTTCTCAATCAAAAAACATATCACATCATGCTATATACAATTCATATAACACTTGTCCCCTTATCCCTCCAATTATCCTTCATCTCGACACTCTGTAAGGAACACATTCTCTTTTTGAACAAGTGGCATTTCAATTATGGGATTTTGTTCATCTTACTGGACCTGACTCGTTTCTTGATTGGTTTGATAGTCTTGAAAATTTCTTTGAATTTCAAAAATTGAGTAACTCATGTCGTCTTTATCATGCTAATATAGCACTTTTCACTTCTACTAAGTGTTACTAGAATTTCTTTTTGCATAAAATTGATAACTTAGGTCAACGTCCTGTTACTTAATGGGATGAAATGAAATGAATATTAAGTAACAAATATGCTCCCGTGTACTATCGATCTCAATTGCTAGACCAATTCTTCTTAAATGATAAACAAGGTACATCTACTATTAGGGAATATCTAGCCAAATTTGAAGATCTATTGCACAATTGTGATATTTATGAAGCTCCCCACAATAAAGCGTCTAGATTTCTCAATGTTTGAAGCCTAAGCTCATACACTATGACATCCTTGCTCTTTGATCATTAGATGATGCTTACCGACAAGCCAACTTATGGGATTTATCCTTACAACTTCTTCAAGCATATCATAAGCTAGGTCTATCACCCAGTCCCTATAGTCACCTCTCGAGTCTAGTTGTGCTCCTTTTGAGGTAGAAATTGGGGTTTCTATTGTTGAGCCAATAAAGTGTTGATAATGAGGATGATGAATTACTTCTTGTGTCTCCACCTAAGTCCAATTGTCTACCAGTCCTTAATTTTATGCCGAAGTTGTTCTTACCTACTCTTTTGTGTGACTCTAATGTGGCTTTTGATATAACTTTTCCTCCATGGTGTGATAATCCCCTAGTTGCCACATGTTCTAAGGTCATTATTCATTCACACACTTCTCCTATCGACATTCTGTTGTTACCTACTGATTACCATCATATTGCTTTGGTTGCTGAGTCGAAAAGTCTGATTGTTTTCAATTATACACACACTGAGCTTGCATTTAAGACGCTATTTAGGCAAATCTACTTTCCTAGTGATTTTTATGCCTTACTACGTGTTTCTTTAACACGATTTCACACACGTGTAAGAAAAAAATTGGATCATTCACTTGAACGTAATATATTTGACTGGCCTTGGCACTTGAATGAAGGTTTTGTTTTCAACATAGCAAAATTGTTCGAGCCATTGATACTACAATAATTTGCTTTTGCAGGCCAATCTACTATGACAGTGCATTGTGATTCTCATGTAGAATCCATTGTTTTTTATGTTAAGTTGCATAAGCTTTTGTTTTTTGGAGTCCCTTATCCATTTTAGTTAGAATGAGAGATCGTACACCTTGGTCAGATCATAAATTTGGTGATACTGTGCACGTTCAATTGATGTTACATGTTCAATTTCGATATTTGGTTCATAAAAAAGATCGTCCCCTTGGTTTGTGCTCAATCTGATCATGTTGTTCAATGTTCAATACATGCAACTGGTCAAGATAAAAGATAAACCTCCTTGGAGTATAAAGTTCACGCCTACATCCCCGGAGTTGAATTCTTTCAGCCGCAGAGAATGATGAAATATCATAGGAAATAATTAATTTTTTATTTTCAGATTTTAATATGTATTTTAGGAAACATGATTAGATTATGATGCAATAACTTTTATAGCATTTCTTTACTTAGCCCTTGTTTGAGCCCCATTCTTTGGAAAAAAAACACCCAAAAAAAATAATAATAATAATAAAATAAAATAAAATTTAGGGCTCAAACAAGGGCTTAGTTATGATTTTATGAAACCCGGGTTATGCGATGTAATCAAAAAAACCTTTCTGAAATAAACTGAATTTCTTCCCCCAATTTCTCTCTTCCTCTCCCCCTCTTCTTCCCCCTTTCGTCCTCCTTCCTTTCTTCTCTTTCCTTTTCCCCTTCTTCTACAATTCTCCTCTTACATTCTGCATTAATAAATCTTTTAACCTTAGACAAATAGGTAAATATTTAAGCTATGTAAACATCCATGAAATTCTTCCATTTGTTAAGCTAATAATAGACTTTGAAGAATGACTTCACTAAAATTAAAGTATGCATTAAGTGATCCATTTCTTAACAAAATGAAGTTCAGTCACCCACAAATTTACTGACCTCTAGAATTTTTAGCCAATCAAAAATCACATGGCATGAGGTAAATGAAAAAGATTTGACAATTTTATGGTTTGACGTTGGAGATGGTCTACGAGACAGCTCAACAAAAAAAGAGGTTCCATGCCCATAAACAAGCATGCAATAAGGCTTAGACGATTCGATTCGTATAAGAAGCAACGTTCTTCTTTCCATTTCCTTATTCTTTCTAACTGGACAATAAGAGAGATCATCGTATGCATAGATTAAAAAAAAATCAACAAACAAAGCTTTACTCCTAATAAGAATTGTTTGCATATATCATGTCATGTTGAACCCCTAACACTCTTTGGACACTAGGGCAAGTGTCTGACAAGCCAAGTATAGTGTCCTAATTTTAATACATTTTTATAAATTTCTAACACTCGAAGGATACTTTTAAGGGCATTGCTCCGACAAGCATCTAGCATGTCATGTACTCCATCCTATATTAAAAGTATAAAAATAAAGATATAATATATAAATACATGTCCATGTCCTAAATTTTCGAAAATTCACATTTTCACGTCTATTTCCATTCCGGCGCTTCTTAGCAGTTAATTGCTACATCTACATGATGGTCTAAAGCAACTCGATTTGAAGCAACCACAACATAATAACTTAGTTGATATACCATCCCTCTTCTAAATTATAAGCTTAGAGATTTAATTTTTATGAATAGGGATCTCTTTAAGATTATGCAAGGCATGTCCTAACCATCTAACCAGTGATTCCCTTATTATATCCACAATTTAAACCACCTCCAATTATCATATCTTATTTTACCCATTCTAGTATTTTCATTTATCATCCTCATTTTAGCTATATTTATTTTATGGGCATCTCATCCCTTAATAACTCATCATCCAGTACAATAGAGCATTGTAGGTCTAACAGCTATTTTGAAAAATTGGCCTCTTGAAATTATAGGGATCTTCACACAAAACTATATACTGGTTCCACTGAACCCAAAACTTTTGAGCTCCAAAGTACTCAAGTTTTGAAATTACGATCAACGATGTCATCAGCGAATAACATACACTAGCGAACCTCATTGTCCCGTGAGCTCATCCACCATAAAAGTAAAAAGATACACAAATAGATAAACTACATGTGAGAAAAAATCAATATTTCTACGGCAATATATTCCAAAAAACACTACAGATAATGCTTGGGTTCAGTTCTGCTAATATAAAGCCACATCATTTTCCAAAATATGTAACTTCTGTTAATCGTGGAAATGAGGAAACATACATATTGTTTTAACATTTTATGTACTACGAAAATGTGAAGTATGTTTTCATTCATAAACATAAAAAGCAAGAAACATTTAAAAGTTATTCATAAGGATTCAACAACCTTTATTCCACCCTCAAAAGAATGGCACTTCAATCTAAGTACGACTAAAGTTTTTTATCCTTATACTTCAAATTAAGATCATGCATTTGGCTTTTGGCTTTCAAAACAAATTATTAATATCCTTTTAAATCAGAAAAGGTTGCGGTTGACCTTAACAAGAAAGATGTTTGTACATTGAACTTATCAATTAAGCCGTAGGCTTTAAAAAAAAAAAAAAAAAAAAAAAAAAAAAAAAAAAAAAACACCACACACACACACACACATAAAGAGTGATAATGGTTTATAATTATCATATTACAACATAGACATAATTGACACTTGACATTAGTGCATGCCTCTGAAAGTCACTTATTAGACCAAATTTATTTTCTAGCAAAAAGGATATCGCAAGGAGAATTGAATGTTCAGTTTTTGAGAAGAATTTCTGAATTTGAGATGCTCGCATAGATGCTAGGAAATAATAGCTTATAGAATCTGTAAGCAACTTCTGGCAATTAACAATTTCCAGGAGCGTAATTTGCTTCACAACTGTCCACAATAGCATTGTAAGCTAATTTAAGTTGAGCATATGCAGTTAACAATGGAACTAATGGGGAGCCATCTATCCATGAAAATATTAAAAAAGACATCTCTTAGCTCAATGAAAAGTCATGATTCACAGTTGAAAGAGTGAGAAAAGGACATAAAAAGGTAATAAAAGAGGGGAAGAAAAGGGGAAACACTTAGCCCATGTTTGAGTCCCATTTTTTGGCCAAAAATGCATTTTGGAATAGTATTTTGCTGGCCAATGTGTAGTTAAAAAATAAAAAAATAAAAACTTTTGGATTTGCGTGTAAAATTATTTTATGGGAAAATGTATGGTTGAAAATGAATTTTGAAAAAATGAGTTTTTGAAAAAAATGGGAGCCAAACATAGGATTAAATTGCTATCTTACTAATCTTTACGTCAAAAGTATACTCTCAACTTAAACACTAATTGAGTTATTCTATCCGAGTGGTATGTTAAAAATCTTCTATCACAACTATTCAAGGAATGACTAGAGATAACATGCTCAGCATTTACATGCATATATTAGTTATGGACTCAATTTTGAAGTAAGTTATTCGTATTTGTGTACTACATAAATGAATTCCCTGGAGAAGGAAATAAAGGAATTTTGTCATGTTTGGTTAGTTGACAAAAATTGAAATTGAAATGCAATAAACATTGGCTGTTTTTAACTTGTGCAGACGCTTACCTCTGAGAACACATCCGTACCAAATGGAGGAATTAGAACCAACATGAACATCACCAATTAGCGAAGCACTTGGTGCCACAAATGCACTCTTATCAACGGCAGGAACTTTGTCAAACAAGTTCATGAGGGTTCTATGCCTCGACACTGGTTAAAAAAATCTATGTCAGTCATATCTCCAGAAAATGCATTCAACTAAAATATTCATATATCAGTATAAAATAAGAGGTAGACTAATAGAACTAAAGTAATTGAGTTCCAAGAAAATCTTTGACATTGATAACAACAAAAGTATTCGAAAGAAATAAGGAAACATACATAAGTGGCGTTTCCATTCGGAGAACATCCTTAGGTATATAGATACATACTATGGTCATAAAGCTAGGATCAGAATGCTCAGAACCATCATGACCACAAACCTAATAACCACTACCTTGAAGAACTACATCTTTGGGCACTACAATCTCCTGCCTTACAACAGGGCAAATATCCTAAAGCTTGTTGAATGCTGTATTAGGAAACTGAATCATTATATTGCCGTACAGAAGTTCCCAAATCAAATTTGCTATAACAGGGGTCAACTTTGTCAAGATCTCAATCTACTAAGAGATTTCATAACATAGGTAGTTGATCTAAGATTTTCAATTAAATATTTGATCCTTAAACCCAAAAACTGATAGCTACAGAAACCTATTCAGCAATGCCTAAAATGTGTAGTGAACTCTGTGATTTGAAATGTATTAGAAGAAAAAGTGAATGAAAACATATGGTGGCCATTAGTGAACCTTTAAAAGAAATGAACTTCACTTAGATATATCAGACTCTGAATCCTCAGAAACATGATTCTTTATTATAACATTCGCTCCATAGCCCATACTTCGAATAAACGATAGGAAGTAAAAATCACACGTGTTGTTCTATGTCAAACCATGCAGACTGCATCATAATATCTATATCCATCATACATGCACACTTAGCCCGTTCGGTAGGGAATAAAATTTAGATTTTTATCAACGTCAAAGTCAACAATTAATTTTAACAACATATTTCATGGGTCTCACATCTTTTAAACCACACATTTTATCAATTTTTATTAAAATCTACTAAAAATTTAATTTTTATCTCCACCAAGCATGGGCTTCGTGGGTAAAAGAGATGGAACGGATAATTGGAAAATTACATCAGATGTAGCATGAAATAAACCCACTGAGAGAGAAAGAAGCCTTTGCACTGAGACCATAGGTATCATGATGTGGTCCAAGTGCTCAAAAATTAAGCAATTGCTCTATGAATACTAAATACCATGGGAACTATGGTCCTGAAAACAACAAATAGTTATCTATCCAAATCAGTTTTGTTTTTAAAATCATAGACCTATCATTCATTGTAGAGGAAACCATTATAAACTTAGATTAGGAAGCAATTGAACAAACTGTGGAAAACGTGAGTGATTATCCTAGAAAATTAGTAATTTTCGGAATAACATTATAGCTTTGCTCTGTCTGAGCCCCATCTTTTGAAAAAAAAAAAAAAGGGATCTTCAATAGTGTTTTGATCCCATTTCAACTTCGCATTCTTCAATAAGATAATATCACACACAAACCCAAAACTTTTCCTTATTTTTTGACCACACATTTTCCATCAGTATACTATTCAAAAATGGGGCTCAAACAAGCCCTATATATTCCTTATGAATGTGGGATCTGATGCAAACTAATCCATATGAATGTGGGATCTGATGTAAATTATTAGATGGGTTTCTTATTTTTTAAATTAGTGTAATGTGTATAAAGGAATACTCTATACAGAAGTCATATAATGAGAAACAATTATTCTTCTCAATTTCTCACATGGTATCAAAGCTGCAAAGTTCAAACTTCGGAAGAAAAGAAATTCTTCTTGACCTTTGTTGCCAATTATCTCTCTCTAGCCCTCATTGCCGGCAGTTAGTTCCTTTTTTCTCAATTTCTTGGCTTTCATCGCTAAATTTCAATTGATCAGAGATATGTTAGACGTTACTGAGACAATCCGCTTCAACACAATCCGTTAAGGTGATGCTGCATCATTCCACTGGAGATCTACAACAGATCCAGGCAGCATATAGACTGAACAGGAAGAACTATTTAAAGTATTCCCATCTTGTTCGCACATTTCTCAAAGGGAAAGGCAAACTGAGCCATCTGCTTAGTACTGGACTCGATTTGATGCTTAGGATGAAGAAGATTCAATCACAATGGCATAGCTATCGTATTCAATGGCAGCGAAGATCAGCAATATGTATCGAGACAACATGTCCTGATGATGCAGTAATACTAAAAAATTACACCACAAAGGATCGAATCTATAATTTTCTGGTTAGCTTAAATGTTGAATATGATCAAGTCCGAGTTCAAATACTCGGTAAAGAACTTCCGTCTTTGAATGAAACTATTCGTATCATCAGGGCAAAGGAGAGTAGGAAGAGTCATGCTTGAACCATAGATCGTGGAAGGATCAGCCACGGTGGCCAGCAAAGGCAACAATTAGAAAACAGGTCTTGAGTAGCTTTTAAACTCTGGTAATGGAACAGCAGGTCTGTCAAAGAGGCCAAAATTGTGATTTTAGAGACAGCTTAAGGTGGAATTACTGTAGGAAGCCAAGGTACACTCAGGAGCATTGCTGGAAACTCCAAAAAGCCCCCACATCTAACAAGGAATGGGGCTACAAAGGCAGACAACAATGATGAAATGGACATGCTCACCTGTCCACCATCCAATCTGATCAAGGAAGAACCCCAAAGCAGGGTAGTCTCAACCAGACCAAGCTTGAGTAGTTGAGAAGCCTTGTAGGAACCCTTGAGAGGACATAAGGCAATTGCTCCTAGGGGCATTCGGGTGAGTTACCTATTTCCATTGGATTAAATATCTCAGATGAATCTTTTGTCAACTCTTGGGTAATGGATTCGAGTGCCAGTTATCATACGACCAACTCATCTTAAAAATTCAGCAAGTATAACCTTTGTTCAAGTAATAGAAAAATTGCCAGGGCTGATGGCTTGTTAACCACCGTTGTAGGTCTTGGGGATGTCCAAATTAATACTTTACTCACACTTAAAATGTCTTTCATATTCCAAATTTATCCACCAATCTAATTTCTATACAAAAACTTACTCTTGATTTGGGTTATAATGTGATATGTTACCCTCAAGTACCGTGTAATTCAGTACAAGATTTTGGGACAGAGGGCGTGCTAAGAAACGGGATGGACTATGCTACCTTGAGACATCAAGCCATTCTATTGTCACCAAGAGCACATCACCTGTAATGTTTCTTTCTTACCAGCATTTATCCAATAAACAGAAGGTCTTGGCTGTATCATCGTAGACTTGGACATCCATCATTTCGATCCCTTAAAATTGTATTCCCTTCTTTGTTTCGAGGATTAGATGTTGAGAGTCTCCATTGTGATGTGCGTGAGATAGCAAAACATAAATGTGTACCATTTCCAATCAGCAATAAAAAAGTCTAGTTCCTTTTTATCTCATTCATAGCGATACTTGGGATCCTTCCCCTGTTTCTAATATTTCTGATGCATGTTGGTTAGTATCATTTATAGATGATTGCACAAGAGTCTCTTGGGTTTTCCTACTGAACTATAAATCTGATGAGTGTTGTCCTACCAAATTTTTCCATTCCATGATACTAAACCAGATTGGGCTTAATAATCAAGATATATAGGTCAAACAATGCTAAGGATTATTTCAATTAAGTTTTAACTCCATATTTTCAAAAGAAAGGGATAATACATGAATCATCATGTGTCAATACTCTACAACAAAATAGCGTTGCTGAAGAAAAAAAGGCCACCTAGTAGATACAACCCGAGCCTTCTTATTCCAAAACAATTTGCCTAAATCATAATGGGAAGATGATGTTTTCACAGCAACTCATCACATAAATCTGTTACCCTCTAGGATCTTAGGTTTAAAAAGCCCTATGGAAATTCTCTCTCAATTCTATCCTAAACTAAGTACTACAAAGCATCTTCTTCCTAAAACATTTCGGTCTTCTTCCTAAAACATTTCGGTCTGTAATTGTTACTTATTGTTTAGTTAGAATGAGGATATAGTTGTTATTTTATGATTACGAGATGAACATTTTAACTGTTGTTTTAGACAGAATTTTCTATGGGAATCTAAGTGACGCTGGAATTGAAGGTTGGGGATCCACTTGTCACCAAAAAATTGAATGGGAACCCAAGTGATCATATAAACATTTAGTTATATATCAGCGATTATAGCTATGATTTTCCCCCCAAAAACTGTCAACGTAGATAAAAGACCAATGAAACACACTTTTAACTAAAAAAATATTTTATCCTTTATTTTCATATAACCTTTCGGGCAACAGTGAAAGCCATGCATTGCTAAACCATGGACTGAAACTGAAATCACAATATTATCCTATTATTCCCCAACAAAAACACATCACCTTTCAGTAGTCACTTAAGCTTTTTATTTCATATAATCAATTAACAAAACCCCAAAAACAAATTTCCAGAACATGAAGGAACGAAATAAATTCAGACAGCCATAACTCGAATCTCATAGGGCTTGAAATATTTTCTTTTAATACACAAAAATAAATTAACAATAAATGAGCAAATTATTACGTTGTTCTTGGAAAAGGTAGTTCCCCTGGAGGCGTGAGCCGAGGCGATCCATGGCTTGACCTGTTTCCCGGATCCAAAATCCAACGGCGTAAATTGCTCTTCCCAATGTTCCCATCTTGTTCTTGTTGTGCTAATGGCGTAGCAAATTATTTAGGGTTTTGACTTTTAGAAGTGGAAGTTTTTTGGCTGAGGATTTGTTTTTGGGGAAAGGCTGGAGAGCTGGGGAGACCACAAAGTGAAGAGACTGAAAGCTAGACGGGTTGAATGGGTTGAGTAGGGGACGAGTCACTAACCAGTGTGATAGCAAAATTCAATAAATAAAATAAAATAAAATAAAATAAAAAAGATGTGTGTGAAGTTCCATTTTGAACTTAGATAAAATTAAATTAAGTGTTTGTTTGGTATAGATTTTAAGTTAATTAAAATTAATTTTTTAACCGTTATTGCACTAATTCAACCGTCATTGTTTATTTCTTCTCTCATAGATAGGATCCATTTTTATGTTTAACGGTAAAAAAATCAATTATCAAAATTTCTACCAAACAAGTACTAGAGAAGGCAAAAAATCAGTTAAGCTCCATCCGTGGCACCTCGTTTGAAATGGGGCTAGATGCTCCATCTAATTGGGTACACATGCGTGGAGGTCGTTGCTCCAATATCAGGACAGGAAGGAGACGGGGAACATAATTTCAATCCCGTTTAAAATCCATTTTAAGATACAAATGTTATATCATCATATAGGAAGAAAAGAATCATCATCCTTTCCTAATGGAATATAAGTTGTTCTATATATTAAAAAATAATAATGATTTTCACCAACTAATTACATAAAAAATAAATAAAACAAATAAAAGATAAACGGAACTTGAGCTTGAAATTTTGGTTGTCTTTGAGAAATTTAGAACCTTTTTGATGTATGTTGTTTTACTTGTTAAGAAATTTGGTTTTGATGCGGGAGTTCACGTTGTTTTACAGGTTAAAAAATTTGGTGAAAACGGTGAGTTTGAACTGTTGAGAGGAGCCAAAGTAATATGAAGGCGAGTGGATTGGGAGAAACGTAGATTTGATTGTAGAAGATGACGAAAAACTAACCAAATCAAGAAAAAAGAAAAAGAAAATGCAGAAAATGGGCGCCTTGGTTCTTAGGCGCCACTCTAGCAATGCATAGGCACCACACATGAAGCAAAAAGTAAGTGCTCAGGCACCACTTAGGAAGTAAAAAGTGGGCGCTCAGGCACCACACACTCAGCGCCCAAATGCCACACAAGCAAGGAAGAAATAGAGTTCTAGGGCCTAGGCACTCGACAAATTCGTGACATGGCGCCCATGCACCACATTCTCAGCGCCTAGTAGTTGTGGTGCCATAAGTAGGGTTTGCAAAAAAATTTTACCTCTATTAAAAGTCCAGTTGCAGCCCAAGCCAAGGGAAATGAAAAAGAGCCTGTAAATACAACTATATAGGTAATATTGAGGAGATTTTTTCGACCCCAAAAAAAGGCAAGTGGAAGATTAATCAAGAGAAAAATGGAGGCATTGACGAGATGAAGAATTCCAGTGCTAAACCAGTTTTTATTTCTTGTCTTTTCTGTGTTTTGGATATTGAATTTGATTATGTGTATTACATTGAACATGTTCTAAATTTCTATCTAGGGATTGATATACCCATACCTTGAGACTTGTTTGGATTTTCATATAAGTATTTTTTCGATTTTTCACAAGTTTATTTGTGTTCATTCTTGCGCATTGCTTTTAATTACCTGATCAATAATTAAATGAGAGATAAACGTTTTATTAGCCACTGAACTTTTGAATGTGTCACGAATTACTCACCGAACTTCCAAATTTGTCCCGTTCGCCACTGAACTTCACCCTATTACTACCCATTACTCACCGGATCAGATCTGTTAGTTGACGTGTGTATGTGGCAGACGGGAAATCTAGCTGGTCGGTTAAATCCTTACAAGTGTTAAATGAATTTCCACTTAAGCATCCACATCAGCATTGGAAGCAAGCCTTTCTTTCTTGCACGATGAAACATGCCTAATCAAATCATTTAACTCCCCATTCTCCAATTCGTAAAATCCGAAAACACCCATCCAACTGAAAACCCTAATTTTCCCAAATCGTCCCAAATCGAAGCTCCAAATCAAGACACCTTCACTGGCCGAGTACAGTAATCAATTCTTCGGTGGAGCGTGATCATGATTTGAACTGCATTGAAGGTAAATTTCGTATGCAATTGAAACCTAGAATTTTCGAGATTTGTTATTCCCAAATGAATTTTTGGTTTATTTGGGCAATATTATTAATTTTTTTAGAGTTTTCATATTTCCAATATCGTTGAAACATTTATCGAAATGCACAAACAATCTGATTCATGGTTTTTTAGTTGCTTTCAGAAGTGACCTCATCATTTCCAGGGAACCTTCACCATATTCCAGATAACCTTCACTAATGTTTTGTTCTAAAATATGGGGTGTAATTTTAGCTGAAAGTGTTATGTCGTTTACGTTTGTTTGTTTACATTGATTTCATCATTTTCTGGATCAAGATTCGTTGTGTCATGAAGAAACTGAGGTCCGTGAATAATCCCCAACTTGTCGCAAAAGTGCGTTAACATAATTCATTTCATACAACAGTCCGAAGAGAAATGTAACGATTCATAAATTTTTTGCTATGCTCTCAACTTGTCATTTTTTTAGAGGTACTGGGAGTATTCATCTTAAAAAAATACTGTTAATGGTTGAATAATTGTCTTCAAATATGGAACCAGAAGATAAGAAATATGGAACCATGAATTGAGGCTTAAACTGTTAATGGTTGAATAATTGTCTTCAAATTCTTGTATGCTTGATTTTATGGAGTACATATGATTATTGATTTAATTTTAATGATATTTGTTTGTTGCAACATATTATAATGAGAGGAAGGAACAAAGGGATGTGTCATGTTCGCCGAAAAGCGGGCCACTACTTACTGGACTGCCCGTGCATGTCCAAAATGTGGCAAAAGAATCCAAAAATGCATAGAGGTAGAAAAGAGGACGAAAAACTTAGGACGGCTATTCTTCTGTTGTACTAACGATTGCAATTATTTCAAGTGGCTTGACGCAGACGAACATTGTCAATATGAGGCTCAATCAAGTGCCACACCAGAAATTAATGAGTTGTCGGGTTTGTTGACACATGTAACTAAAATAACCTAAGAGAAGGATGTGGATATCTAGTCAAATTTACTTTCCGCAAGGGAAAAGGAGAGACATATAATGGGAAACAAAATGGAGGAGTTTCATGAAAGTGAACCATTTACGTTATTCTCAAGTTTGTGTAATTTACTAGTTTAATAATCTATTTGTAGACGTCAAACTTATAATTGTAGGTCAACCCCAGTAATTTGAAATTTGCGCTTGTAATTTCAATGTGTCTTTGATTCAAATGAGATAATACGGTGCAAAAATTTCTATTCCTAGGATAACCATACATAGTTAAAAGCTTGCATGTTTGTAGAGATTGTCAAGGAGTGATCTAGAGGCTTCTGAGCCTCTAAATCTTGATATCAATGGATTGGTGTCCATTACATGACAATTTCTGTACCAGTAGCAAGTTCGAAGCTATTAAATTATATATTTATTTGGTTTTTACTTTAGTCCTGCTGGACTCTTCCATTACTGAAACTGAACTGGAAAAAGAAAAAATTAACAGAACCAAAAAGTCACCGGACTTGAAATGTTGATCTACTGCTAATCTAGTTCAGTTTAAATAGATTTTAGTTCGGAAGCCAAATTATGCACGTGCTACATCTGTGTTGTTCTTAGCATATAATGTTATATACATGAATATTTGTTGCAACCTTGACCTTTGCTATTTGGTGATATGCCTGTCCTTTTCAGGTATTACAAATGATTCTGAGGACCCCTCAGTCAATACATTTAAGTCTACTACTTTACCCATGTTGAAGTGGTTTGGAGTACCTACAGTAGATATACAACACATGGTTGTGGTCCAAAATATGCTCATTTACACATCACAACATATTATCATAAATCTTGCCAACGCCTTTTAATAGTTGCTCATTGACACATCACAAATCAGCAAATAGTTCTTCGAGGCATTAATATGTTTTCAGAATATATACCCAAGCTATCATACATAGCAATAGGTTTACAATTAAGTGTCAACATCATTTACACTGGACTCCAATTGAGACTTCAAAAGCTAGTCCAAAAGACCAATGTTCTGTCAAAAATCATGTACCGTATGTTAGATTTGATGGAGAAATATATGCCCATTCAAAAATCAGTTTAATGGTAGATTCTGCCTTCTCCAGCGTCCGATAAAAAGATGTGGTTAAAGCTTTCCTCAAAGCACACAATTACTACTTGCAAATGCTCAGTCCTGCCGATGCCATCTACTTTATGCATTGTCGTTCTCCTGTCCTCGACAATCTCCTACTGGCAGATTCCGCATTCCCATGTCAACCAAGTCATTGACGACATCATCAAGGTTTACATAATCGGTCGGAACATCAACATGAACTGATGGAGTGCAAATTGTTTCTGATGGACCAGATCTTAGTCCACCCATCCACGCTTCATGAAACACCCTCGGTGTTTGGATGAAATGGAAAGTGCGTTCACTCCCTTGGTTGTGGTCCTTCGATGCTCGTTCTAGAACCATTTTACCCTGCGCATCCAAAGATTAACATTATCAGGTTGCTCTCATTGTCCACAAAATATGATGACTAACATTTAAAAAATGAATTAAATGTGTAGTAACTCGTTCATCCATCGCTCTATCGGTATACGTGTCTACTGGTTCTAAATTTCATTCAAACCAATCCTGTCGAAGGAAAACCAACCTTAGAAAACATTAATAGACATACCACCTAAAAAATGAATCGATAATACTCATAGAATCTGGTGCATCCGGCCTAGAGTGGTACCATTTGTTGGGATCTTGTTGTCCACAAAATGAGCATGTCATGTTCACCCATCCCTTTCTCCAGAGATGGGTCTTTGCTTGCGAATGCACTATCCTATCTTCATCATTTCTTTTTCTACGATTTATTTGTTGCATCCCCTTTTGTGGTGTAATCCACGATGGGAGAATGATATCAACCATATTCGACTGTGGCCATAATCGCGTACCGTTGATTGGATGCATGATACAACCATAGCATCTCATATACAACTCAATCGTATAGCAGGCATCAACGAAGTCTTCTGGATCATTTTTGCAATCCCAAATTACTGCAACAGCATGCAT